TTTGTTGCTACGAAAGTTAAGCGAACAGTACAGTTTAACTTACGTCCTCTGGGCTTGTTAAGATTTTCCATATTCTAGCATCACTTTCTTTTGATGATCCATCAACAAATAACTTCCATGTTCTTTCTTTTTTGGGCTAATCTTCAAGAATGGGGGCATCTGAAAGTTCGATCATGAAATCTGGCAGTACTTGTGCCTTAATTGTGGATCGTCCCTTTTCATTAATTTCAAATTTTCCTAACTAGACTATCGATTTCATCAACCTTCCTAATGCGTCAAGCTTTAGTTACACTTGTTTGAGCAAAAAGTTGTTAAGCACATTAATTTGTGACTTTGGAAATAAGGACGAAGTTTTCAAGATACTACTACTATTGCAAGGGACAAACTTTTCCATAGCTTGATATCTAGCTTTAGCACCCTAGAGAGCGTTACTTACAAGATGTTTGGTGGTGATTAAAATTAGATTTTTAGCAGATTGTGATAGAAATTTTTGAAATATGTGGTTGAAAAGCTGTGGGACCTATGAAAAATATGATTAATATTGATTATTTGACTTTAATTTAGATTAAAATCTGATTTTAATTCGAAACAAACAGGGGCATAATATACTAGCAACTATTACTGTATTTCCTTCCTTACTAAAATGGAGCTCACAGCTACTTTGGATACTGTCAGATAGAACAACAATTTCATTCAATAGCTTAGCTAAAAGTGGGGCTTTTCCCATACACTTGTTTAAAGCTTGGAAAGCTTGTTCACATTTTTAAGTACATTTAAAACTTTTTTTGTTCATTTTAGTACTTGAAAAAAGGGAGAGCATTTATCAGTAGCTCGTAATATGAACCTACTCAAGGCTGTGACACTTCCAACGAGACTTTAGACCTCTTTGGGTTTTACTAGAAATTGTATCTTTTAGTGAGCTTATATTTTATCGGAATTCACCTCAATGCCTCATTGGTTTACCATGAAACCTAAAAATTTGCTGGACATGACTTCGAATGGACATTTAAGTAGGTTAACATTCACGCGATACTTTCGAAGAATATGGAATATCTCTTCCAGGTGTACAAATAATTCTTAGTCTAAAGGCCTTTGACGAGCATATCGTCACTATATACTTTCATTTTATTTTATTTTTTGCCTATTGGATCAGTGAACATTTTATTGACAAGCCTTTGATATATTGCCAATGTTTTACAAACCAGATGACATTAATCTATAGTATTATAGACCTCAATCAGTAATAAAGGCAGTATATTCTTTATCATGTTCACAAGTGGGAATTTGATTATATTCGGAGTATGCATCCATGAAACTTAATAATTCATGTCCTTTGATCAATTTTGGGGTGCGGAAAACTACCTTAGGGCACGTCTTGTTTAGGTCTGTAAAGTCTTGATAGGCTAACTACTTTTCATTGCGTTTTGGAAACTAAATTGGATTACAGACCCACACTGGATATTGAGCTTTGTCGATAAAACCGTTTTCCAGTAATTTGTGTATTTTGTGTATGGCATGCCACCCGTGCTTACAGGCGAACGCGTCAAGGTTCACCTTTAGGAAATACTTTAACAGGCTTTTTATAGGCTCAACCAAATCTTTGCAACTTTTAAGACCTTGGTTTCATCTTCTTTGCCATTGGAAAAAGCTTTCCATCTCTTCAAACACTGCAACTTTGGATGTGAATTCGATAATAAGCTTTCCATCTCTTCAAACACAATGGTTAACGAGGCTGCCTCTCTTAGAGAACTAAGGTAGTGAGAAACGCAAGATTCAACCCTACACACTTAGAGGGGGTTGATTAGGTGTAAATGTGGAATTAAGACTTTAATTAACAAGCAACAAGTCACAAGTTAATTATGTTTAGGTGATTAGTCAAACAATTCGGATTTTCTTATCTTTGAATATCACAGTAATATCAAAACAGTAAAGAAAGCAGTAAACAACACTCGAATTGTTCACAGAGAAACCCAAGGCGGGAAAAACTTCAAGCACTTTGTCAGTCAAAGATCCACTATAAACTGTTGATAAAACTTACAGACTACCAGCAAAGTTAACGACATAAGTTTTCTAATCTTCTATATGAAGTTTGAAGCAGCCCTCCTGGAATGTGCACACCAACACCAATCCTGACTTTTCTTAGTAAAGCAGTTCTCTTGAAATGATCACACGAACTCCAATCCCGACTCTTTATACAGATTATCTCTTGTAGATCTTCCCCAAGAACTCCTCGTTCTTCAAATTTTTCCTTAATCTTCTACGCAGCCAAGTTGTCGAAACAATCTTGCAGCAGACCTGAGCGAAGAATCCAATTCAGCGTTTGATTTGATGGCTTTGATGTTTTCAATGAGTAGAGCTCATATGAATTGAAGGATTGAACATTTGATCTTGTGTAGGATGAATTCTCTATAGAAAATAGTATGTTCAATCTCTCTTTCGTAGAATATGTGACGC